CATCTCTCTAAGTGCTTGTTTCTCTGATACAGAATAAAATATGCAAAACTAGCCGTTATTGTGTACCGTTGCTGTGACTCAGCCGTTTTATTGTGTCCCTACTTATGAAAACTCTTGTTTATCTTATTTGAAAGACATCAAAAAGCTTTATATTTCTTTAGTCTTACTGTTTATATTTTTAAAATAAACAATAGAAATTGTATATCGAGTAAGTGTATATTTTAATATTATATTTCAAAAGTTAACGCTATTTTTGTAAAGATTATTAGAATGAGACCAGCGTCAACACGATCGTTTATTAAAAAATCACCAAAATGCGTTCCAGTTTCACGGATAGATAGATACACTTCACGTTTCCACTCGCAGAAAAACGAAATACAATGTGTTCCAGTTCATATAGACTTTTTTCATTTCCTCTATATTTATCAGTATATTTTACACAAGCCTTATATGCCACATGAAATATTGTATGTAATTTTGAATACTTTGTGTGTCAATTCTCAGCTTTAAATTAGACTTAGTGGCGGCTAATGTTTGACATAATAAATTAATTGAAATTATTGCGTATATAAAATATAGTAAAATTGAAAGTCAGTTGAAACTAGTTATGAATTAATGATAACTAGTATAATCAAAGGAATTTATGAACTCCTAAACCCTAGGATTACGTTACTAACTCGTAGTGTATTTACAACCCGAGCAAAGTTGCAGACATCTGAAAAGTTGGCACAAAAGGGATAATGAACTTGTTTAGCATATGTTAATTAAATACTCCCGAAGGGTTTTGGTTAATGGAATTCTGGAATATTTGCCAACATGAGTTGTGGGTGTGTAAAATTTTATTTATAAAGACACGGCGGGTCGCCCGAGTCACGGGTGTCTGAGCGTGGTGTTGACTGTTTACAAGTCCGTACTGTTGTATGGCGAACAGTGTAAACATTTGTATTATTTTTTAATTTGTGAATGAAAATGATCGAATGAATGGAAAGTCAACTTTGTTCCCTCCAAGTTATTAGACGTAAATTATTTTAATTTATCAATGTCATATTAACAACAAGCTATATTTTGAAAATAGTATCCGTGTTATTATTTTTTTATATTTATCATATTATTGTAAAAACATATTATATTCATAGCCTTTATATAGAATAGAAATACTTCTCATTCATTTATAAAATTGAAGAAATAAGGGTTAGATTTTTGATTGGAATATTTTCATGAGCACAAATCCGAGGGACATAATGTTAGGGCATAACAGTGTTATAGCCATTTCAGCGTTATACCTTAGTACCCTAATTTATGAAGGTCAAAGTAGGTACATTATACGTCTACTTAAATTTCTGATTTAACTTACTAGTAAATGAAAATTATCGATAATAAACTAAATTAACAGGAGAAAGTTTGGTGAAAGGCGATGAGTTCGCTTTCTGACATGTTGGATTTAAATTGCCTAGTAAAATATTAGCATGCTAAGTATCATATTTAGTAGATCTGCGGGTTTTGCATTATAGTAGCCAGAATATTTATGACTTTATACCTAAATTTCTGAGAAATAACCCATTGACCCCAATAATTTCATGAAATTCGATTACAGTAATTACCTGTCTATAGGCGTTACGTGATATAAAACTCATTGCCTTTGTAACGACACAAATTATTAATAAATCCACTCCAAGCTTTTGTTGTCAAAATGATTAGCAAGCAATAAAGTATTTTGACAACAACAATATTCATATTTCCTGACTTGTCAATATTATTATATTCTCGTTTCGGAATTGAATGAAAAGTTCGTAATTGAAATGCACAACAGTTGGATCTTTTCAATTACCTACGCACCCAATAATAGAAGAGGAATTTTCATTGTTCATCTAAGGAGATCTAATTCAATTAGGGGCCTTCAGAGCTCGTTTGCATGAGTTTGCATTTTTAAGCATAATCGAGCCGCGCTCCAAGTAAATTTTGACAAGTTGATGTCCTGCAACACTCTGCTACCCCTGGGGGCTAACGTACAACTTTTACTAACTAAACGGCGCACTGTAATTTGGAAAAAATGTTACTATATTAATTTAGAATGCTATTCAGAAAACATGTTTTATACGTACATTTCGAAAAATAAAAATTGTTTGACATATTTTATAACTTAAAATATGTCAAACAATTTTTATCTTCAATATTTCAGTAATCTAATAAATTACTCGTATCATTAGCAATTTATTATATATTTGGGTATGGTTGGCTATTTAGGTTGCAAGATAATAACTAGTGTATATTGGGGGAAGGAGTTAGTTATGTGGACTAATAAACACTATTGCTAGCAATGTACCATGTCAGGTTGCCCTCCTCCCGTTTCTCCCTGGATGCCATCGTGATAAATTCCTGGTGAGTATGTCATGATGGACTAAGTGACCTGACCTCATGCTCATTTTATCATCCTCCACTGGTGCCCCGCCCGCGTAAACCGTTAGCGCAGGCTGGTACACCATTCCATTATCATCAAATTGAACTAGTTTGTTTTTTTATTTTTCATATAGTAGAAGGTCTTGTTTGCACTTTAAGTTCCTGTATGATTGTATTTACGTCATCACTTGTATTTTGTCTGAATCCTTTACGTTACTAAATAGGACTATGTAATATTATGTTATCTGTGGTAGGACCTAGTTCAAGGAGGTTGTATAGAAAAGTAGTTTAATAGCTAGTAATATACCAAATATCAGGTCGACATTCACGCGGCCTCTCTAATTAATTCTAAGTGAATAATCACGATTGGCTAACTGACCTCACTCCATTCTCACTCCATCATTCCCCACTAGGGTCTTATCAGTGTATATCGTCATTCCATTATTATCGATTGCACCTGAATCATATTTTTACGTTTATATTGATAGCCCCCGAGATCAGAAAAATATTTATTACTTAATTGAATTTATTCCGAATTAATTTGAATATATTTGGTTAAATACGAAATGATTTGCGTGATATTGATTTCCATATTGTAGAAAGTTCCAATAAATGTATATGTAGGAAAAATATAATATATTTAGTCCCGTTATTAACATTTGTATGTAATTTGTAATAATAAAAATCTTTATTATATATTATGTTAAAATCTTCAAATTGTCATAGATTCATAACGAGATTATTAATTTTTATTTATAAAATAAAATATTTTACTTTATAAAAATCAAATATAAAAACAATATAACTAGAAAAGTAAGCTGTTAAATCATTTTCATTGTTATAAAGCGGATTAAAGTATTGTGTTAGAATGAGTGTTTTTTTTTCATAGCAACCAACGCCTTTGTGAATTTATTTTTAATATTCATAATCTTTTGAGGAAGTTGACTTTGAAAGCGGACAAAAGAAGTTTTGTTATCCGGCTGGACTACCAATTTTGTTTAATTGCATGTCTAGTAATGTTAGTATTTGAGTTCAATTACTCGATGAAAGGTCGACCTTAAAATAAAAATAACTTTTTGTTTTTAAACTTTGTACAAAATATATAATATGTAAATGTAATATTCAATTACTTCTAGCACAATGATAAAGATAAAAATAATTTAAGTCGATAGCACGGTCTGGCAGGTTAGCAGATAATTTTTACTTCTGATGTTCGCGGATTCGATTCTCACTGTACTAATATTTGTATACATGAGTAAGTTTTGTACATAAAAATAGTATTTAAGTATTACTATCAGTTGTTTAGTTCAAGCTTTGTTTAGATTTTGTCTAATTAATTCAGTAAAGTTATGATAGTAACAGACAATTTTTGTAAATCATATAAATCACGTCATGATTATAAGGAAAGTGTTTCACTAGTACATAAACATATATTACAGCTATTATCACTAACAACTGTATTTAGGCACGAAAGAATCGGATAAACTAGCAAAATATAAGACCAAATAGATTTTTGTATTTAAATAATACCTAAGTGAACAAATGTGACAAAAAACCACAGACACTATAAATGTTTTAATATGCCTGCCCACTATTTATGGCTTAGAGCAAATGTAATAAATACTAACATTCAAAATGACTCACAGGGTAACTTTAACGGTAGGGTAACATTATGTCCGTCAAACAAGAGCGCTGTTCGATTCGAAATGCAAAATTCGATATTTGAATTTCAAAATACCTTCTTGACAGTCGCAGTATATATTCTGCTCTTAACTCTTCTCTTAATAGTCAAATAAGCTGAGAACATACTACAGTTCTATTTGAATGATAATTTAAACGGCACTTGACTTATTTGTAATCAAACAATACTTATATAGGTATTTTAAAGTTTTTTTTGCTTAAATAGCAAATTATCAAGAATTGTTTCTTTTTATTTTGAATATTAATCTTAAGCTAAATTCTTAATGTGTCTGGCCACTAATAAAAATTTTAGAATTACCAAAACAGTTTAAAAAAAGATCGCATTGTTCTATTTAAAAAAAATATTTGAATTCATGTTGGACGTGGCACGACGACAACGACGTTCTCGCATTTTTATTATTTGTGGTTCTATATAAAAGGACAAAAAGAGCGTAACTATTTCATGCTATAATTATATGAAAACATTTAAAGAATATAACTTTTTTTATTCCTATTATGTTGTTTGTGAAAATACCCAAGTAATTTAACTATGATATATCACGTTTTAAACCAGGACGTAGCAAACCAAGCGCGCTATGTGATAGAGCAGATAGCGTAGATAACAGATATAACCTGGATAATTAAGTATAAACTCAAGTTTTTCTTTTATTGATAAAATGGCTTTAAAATTAAAAGCGATCGCCATCACTATCTAATGTATTTCTAATAAGCTATCTTTTCAAGTTGTTTTTCGGATCATATACTGGGATATAGAAGATATGGTCCCCTTAATTCTGAGAAACTGCATTGCAATCTACGAGTGTCACATTATCAGATGAATCTCACCTGCCCTAGAAACTTTCCATCACATGGACTGTCAGCATGTTTGTTATTCCTGTTACACAAAAAAAAAATAGACTCACCCATCTCAGCAGCGGCATGAAGCAAGTCAGCGAGTAGTTCAGGCTCAGTGCAGGTGATAGCAAGCCGGTCATCGTGCAATCGAGCCGCTTCCAGTTCTCCAGGTGCTGCCTCACGCAGCTGTAGAGCAACAGCGCCCTCGCCGCCCACCGCTGCGCTGTACATCAGCACCGCGCGCGGTGAGAATGTTGGCAGCGGTAGCCGCGTCGACTGCACCTGGAGCAATAATGGATCTCTTAAAATAGTGCTATTTCATATATATATATATATATACTATTTTTTTCACCCATATTTATTTGACTGACATTATTCTTTGCTATTAACATATTAAATTCAGCTTTCTTAGGGTTGTGGGTGTTTCACTGAGAGAACCTATTTTGATGTTTTGAATGTTAGATGTGAATTGTAAATACCGGCACTATTGGTCTATATTTGTTAGCTTTATTAGTATCAACATATATTAGCTTTGTACAAAGTCGGAAGGTTTTGTATATTAAATCATATTGCATTCTTGACATTATATCAACATTAATATTTTTATTTATAATTGTAACAAATCTTTGTCTCGTTGTCTATCTGCTATATATACATATACTAACTTGTAATTATCATTGTATTGGCGGTTTGTGCCAAAAAAACATTAAAAAATATTGTAAAAGTATTTACCGACCCTCATGTCGTCATTGTGCGGCACTCGTGTCATTGACTTGAGCAGTAATGTGCAGTGCGAACGGTTTACAAATAGTAATGTAGTTATTGAATTATGAAAGTTAAATATGATTATTTGTGCCATGGTTAGTAGTGTTACGCTCACATCTTCTATCCAAAATTGTTATTCTATTCTCTTTATAAATTACGTTACGAACAGCACTATCCGTCATAATGTAAAACACATAATTGGAGCCCATTAAGGTACGTTGTCACACACACGCCAAGTTGGAGAGAAGCATAAATAAATAGTTGCTTGTGAGTAATTATCGGCAAGCATTGTTCGTAGGCGTCGTGTAACGAGGACGTAGATTATAACGCGATTAAAACCGAGTTAATGGAATATCGCGGGGTAAAGTTGCGACCACATTGATGTATTTGCGACGTTTGCTTGCGTTGAGATGAGAAGTTTCGGGTTTTGTTTTGAGGTTTACAACTATATATGTATTATATTTTAGGTACTTGTATGTTAAGGTGTATCTGTTTGTGCTTGCATTTATTTGGAATGATGATGACTGACAAGCGGTAACCGTTGCCCTATATACATGAACAGTACTATGGATATCACGTTATCACGGACACCCATGATGCCATTTCAGAGGAGTAAGATGTTTTGCCTTTTATCCTGTAATTTCACGACTTAATCGCACTTTACGACGAAATACAACTAAAAAGCTAGGTACTTGGCAGCTGAAATGCGAGTAGGCGAGAATAAGGTAACCACGCAGCTGCCTTTGTACAATATACCTTCAACTATATGCTAATATATGTAGTTTCTATCATAAGTACTTTTATAAATAGGAACTTTCCCATTTATAGACAGTAACAAAGTTATTACTTTGTTACGGTTTCACACCTTCACAGCTTAATCAAAACATTATGAAATATTACTAGAAAAAGAGTAAAATGTTAAATTAATATTTGTTTACAATGTTATATATTATGTATAAACGATAACTCTTTACAATCTCAAGTGCTGTTCTAAACATTTATGATTCATTACAATTTTCGTTCACTGAAATTGAAATATTTCTCATCAAATATTGTGTAAATTATTCTAAATTAAGTTTCTATTGAAGTTGGAGTTAATTGAAATTGCGAATGTTATCAGAAAACTAAATATTCTATTTATACGTAAACAAGATATTGTGCCAGCTTTATATATTGTAACCTTAACACCCTCAACCTTTGAGTTTTTAAGTACTTCTGTAGGAAAATGCCCGTAAAAAGCATAATGTCTAAACATATGTTTTATATTATAATTAATCTATTAATATACTGGAATGACATTTAAAAGCTGTATTTGTCTTTAGGAAAATTATAAACTTACGGATTAGAAATAATATGAGTATGAAACAATTTCTTTATGAGTGATATTTCTGAACATATGAAAATGTCAATATGGTTGATACTAAATTAAACAGATCTTGAATTATATGTAAACACTAAACTACAGACAGACACTTTTAAAAATGTATTTGTAAATATGTACAATGGATATTAGAGAGACCTATACAAAAAATTATATGTGTAGTGGGAGGATCAAGTTTACGGTTAACATCATCATTATCATTTCATCTCGGAAGCCGTCCATAGCGGAACAAACACCTTCTCCAAAAATCTCCATGACGGCCAGCTCCGCACTGCTCCTATCCTACGCTTGCTAGCAATCCTGACCAGATCGTCAGTCCACCTTGTAGGTGGTTCTCACGTTCCGATTTCCAGTCCGCCGTCATCGAAGTTTATGGTTATAAGGCAGTTCTAATAGGAGTTTTTATGTTTGTCTTAAGATGGTAGGTATGAGATTATATAGCTAATCTATAGAATTGTATTCCTAATTGTGAACTTGAAATTATCAATGACTTTATAGGGCTTAGTCATCCGGATTTGCAACTACATGTGTCATATGATAACGCGTAGTTCATGGTGCTACACTAGTATATAGGTGACGGTTACCATTCACCATCAGAGAGTTCATGAGCTTATTTGATATGTAATTTATATTAAAAATATCGTAAATGGATTATCTAAAGTTAGCGACAACGCCATTAAAGTTTGCAGCTGATGCTGCAGCAAGTAGCTTTGATAGTTGAATAGCTTTGATAAAGTTTAATTGCAGCGGAGAGTACGCCCTTTATGGATCCCAGCATAGTTTATTCCTAATTCGATTATGATGGAATGGTCAGCCATACTTCTGCATTCCTGATGGAATGCACAAGTATGGCTGACCATATCACGTCCATGAGTTTGTTTAATATTATATTATAATAGGTTAAGTTAAAATTAAAAATAATAATCTTAAAAAGGCGTATAATAACAAAAAACTACATATCAAAAATATAAAAGGGGCGGTCTTTGATATTTTCTGTAAAAATATTGTAGGATCATAAGTATTTGAAGTGAATTATGTGGGTGTGAAACACAGACAGAAATTTAAAAAGAAAAAATATTTCGTTTGAGTCATATCATATTTGGGAGAATGGAGGAGAATGTAAAGTTGGAGAGAAAAAATAATATATGAGGTACTAAGAAAAGAAAGTGACTAATAGAGAATAACTAATTAATGAACAATAATTATAAAATATAGATATATTTTTAAAAATATCCTACAAGAAAAAATAGACGGAAGAAAAATAGGAAATTATTATATGACACACAAAGTTGTATACGGATGTAGTTTTAGGCAGAGATAAATGGTGCAGTACATATACGTTAGGGATATTGAAATCTAAATCGGTTGTAAATACAAGAAAAAAAAGCTCCTTAAAATATAATTTTATTATTCGTCTAGTCCTTGACTTTGTCCTTTTAAATAAAAAATGATAGTCTTATTTTATAAAACTATCTGTTTATTTCAATTTTTTAGTTACACGATATCATATTATATGCAAGGCAGTATGCTGTTATAGAAGTTCGTAATATTCAGATAATAATAATGTATATATTATTAAAATTATTGACTAGATAATGTTGAATAGGTAAGGAGATATAATCAGCTCATCCTAAATTGGCCCATTCGGAAAGCAATGGTTTCGATACATAAAATTACGAACAGAAATAAAGCTAGGTGAGCGTTGATGAGGGGAGCTATTACGCTACGTCCCGTGGGCTCGCCATGTTGCTGATTACACCACAATTATCCCCCGTTGACCGGCAAATAAGCACGTAATAGCCACCCGGAGTAGATATTTTACACTGATGCTACTCGTTTGTTTGAACGCAGATCGCATTGTTTTGTATTCGTATTTATGATTCGATTATACGAATAAATATAAATTATATTTACGTGCGTTGTAAATATAATTAACGTACATTTTGTTTTTAACCAAGACGGTTAAAAGCAAACCGTAAGTAAAGATAGATGGAATATACTTTATTTGCAACATACAGCAAAGAAGAAGCACAAACAATATAACAAAGGACACAGGTATCGTTACAACAAGCCGGCCATATTGCTAAAGTTATATATGCTCTCAGAAACGAATCATAAATAGATAGCTGTCTTTTATTTGTTTCTATATTATATTGTTTATGTATTATCTATGAATGTACAAAGGATGTTTGGTATAGCCTTGCAAATTTCAGTACGTAAGTTAAACCTACCTAATTAACTTGCGATAAATTTAGATCAGATATTTCATATATGTACAATGTACATATATAGACTCTCGGTGTTATCTAATATTATATCTATAAAAATAGTTAGATGTAGTTGCTAATTTATAAGAGCACGGCTTATATCACCTATCGTGATTATCAAAAGCAAGCATGTAAGGAATCATTCCCCTAACGTTCAAAGAAAGTAATTATCTTCGAACCAGGTCAAAAGTGGGTTCTAATCTCGCTCCAGTTCTCCAGATATTCGTGTTCTTGCGATGATTACAGACGACTTCGCTCATTTGTTCATATTACGTGTTAAGGCATGATATTACGGCATCGCGTGAGTGATTAAGGCTTGTATTGTGTATAAATGGTAATAGTAGGGTTACCAACACATCTGAAAGATATAGATGCGACTAACAAAAAATACGCTTTTCAATGTACATTTTTTTTAACATTTCTATTAAGATTTACTGTGTACTTACTGTTTTCTCGCCTTTTTTAGGTGAGACAGTGGAATCATTTTACATACTTTATCTCGGTAAATAAATAGTTTTTTCTCAGTAAACCAAAAAAAATCAAATTAATTTAGTTAAAGTGTAAGTTTGTATTCACACATTTCAATTAAAAAATATAACGTCAATTATTTAAAACAGCAACATACAAGTTTCTTGCTCGTTCTTTTTGTGATGAGACAGAATTCCGAATTAGCGATAGAAAAAAAAATTGGAGAGTCACGTCGCGGCGTCGGTCGTCATAAGAGTATCAACGACTGAAGAGATTGATGGAAGATTGTGGAAAATGGCAATCGTTCTAACGAAAAGAGAACGGCTCTAAAATTATGAATGAATGAAAGAACTATGACAATTAAAAAGTATTTAAATTAAATTTAATTGAATAAAGATTTT